TAAACGCAACAATTGCGCAATTTATATTTTATCCAATATGATCATTGTAAACTCTTAGAGATGCGAATATTGGGCACTGTAATTGACTAGTAGTAGGTCCAATATTGGCGTAATTATTGTGATCTAGTGGCTCTAATCCGATCACGACGGTGATTCGGAATGTGTATGCATACCGCGATTATTAAATTATTCGGTAAACTGTTTTAAATTCATGAAATCTCGTTGCCGGCAGACGAGTCCCGACGGCAACGTAACAACCAGCATCCTCACATTCGTGCCGAGTATCGAAGACGCCGGAAAGTTTCTCTACTGTCGCGCCAGCGTACCAGATATTCCGGATTCGGAGATGGAGGAAGGATGGAAGCTCAATATATACCGTGAGTGTTTTCACAAAAACGCACTGGGGTGTTCTCTCTCGCAATTTCACATCTCGCGTATGCGCTCGCACAATAGAAACTTCCATCAGTGTAATATTTTTACAAGCACATTGCGCATGCATGTCATCGTACGTATGCTCTATAAAGTCAACATTAAAATTTTCAATCGAGAATTTACTTCTCTAAACTATTCTTTGTACTTCGCATCCCGCCGCTATATCGGCGGATGCGAAAAACGTTTGCGTAAAACGCAACAACATTTACCGTTGGGATCAAATTCATCGCAGCGGTTACGTTATTTTATTTTAAAAATCGTTACACTGAAATCTGGATAGCAATAGATTCCTTGGCTGAACTGATTTTTCTGCCATGAAAAATTATTAAAATATTTTAATATTCAAAAGAAACTTGTAATTTTTAAGATTCAAGAGTATCAATCAGTAATTTTGGTTTAATTTGACATTAGCTTTGATTTAAGATTTAAATGTCAAGGATCCGAATTCGACGAAAGAATTTGTCATTAATATTAACACGATGAAGTATACTATATTATATTACTTTATTTTAATAAAAGAATAAACTTGACAGATTTAAAAATAAGTTGCACAAGTATTTACATTCTAAGAAAATGATTGAAGAAAGTGAAGAAACATACAAATTATTTCTTTAAATGTTAAGTGATCTAATATAATTTTTTTTATATTTAGTATGAGAAAGAAAGAGAAGAGAGAGAAAATGGGTATGCGCTGCGGAGCGCTAATAATCCCTTGTAACAGTCAAAGCATCTTTAATAAATAAATAAAAATAAAATATTTTCAATCAATGTCACTGCTAATTTCGCAATTGACGAAAATTTCTTTTCGCGTTAGATGTTCTGAATTTCTTCGGTTCAACGCCGGTTGTCGACAACCAGAAACGTTTACAAATACGACGGTTTCCCCTGTGTTGGATACATTCTTTCAAATTTATCTGCGCGCGGGGGATATCGGCATGGGGCCCAACGGTCATGTCGTCGGGCGAATGTCGATGCCGTAGTCCAAATTGCACCCCCGGTGCAACTTTCCAACGCCATTAATACGCAAAGTTGCAGGACGAATCGCCGCGAAGCGTCGCAGTCCGACTCTGCAGCCGGCCAGGATTAACGCCGTGATTTCACTGTCCAATATAAAAGTTTTCCTCTAACCGGTCCGCGAGAGAGAGAGAGAACGAGATACGCGAGAGCGCGCGGGATAAGCGAGAGGGAGAGGAGTTTCGCGTGGAAATTAATGGCACATGCCGATCCGCCGCGCTGAAGATTCAGTCCGATTACGCGCCGCATTTCCACCACTTCGACTACCTTGGCAGCCCCATTTCCTCGTCTTTCCACGGTTTTTTCCATTAGTCGCGTCCGCCCGTAATTCCACGGAGCGGACGGCGCTGGGAAACGGCGAGAAAATTTACTCTTACTGCGTTTATTGTGAGCGCGAATCGGCGAATCGGTATTATCGGATTCGCGGGCGGCGGGCGTTGCCGCGAAAGGAATCATAAGTAACGACTCGATACGGCGATCTTTTTTTTATTCCCCCGCGAAGATAATACCGCGGAACGGATACCGGACGACGGTCTCTCAATAGGAAAATGCGCCAGCACTCGATGCGGTTGACCATTTATTTACGAGACTAGGTATCGAAAACTATATACATCCGCGCCGCGAATGGTACTATATTAACGAAATTTCTGTCTCGAATATTTCGACAAGAAATGATTATTAATCGACCGACCAGTCTTTCAATGATTTTTTATAACTTCCTATTACTTCGACAAGAAATGATTTATTAATCGACCAACCAATCTTTCAATGATTTCTTTATAACTTCCTGTTATTCGAATCACACGTGCGAAAAAATATTTAACTCGCTGAATAAGAGACCAAAACTGGAAAGATAAGTAAACTGAAATCGAGTTCTGGAAACTCGGTATAATTTACATGTAAGATAAGTCAAATAGATGATATTTGTCGATCGGCGAGTTGACGTTAGTAAGGTAGTATCAAAATGCGCTAAAAGAAATTTCCCTTTCTTGTCCAAACGTCTACGTTTTCGCGTTTTTTCTTCTTCTTTCTGTTTAGATCGATATCTAAGCATTCTAAGCAGTAAGCACTAATAACGCCAATTACTGTAATTAAAGCGGCGTCTCTCATATTGGCACATTTCGCGCGCTTCAGCTTTGATGTCGATTCTGTTTTCAGACGAGCCTGTGGTTACCCTCGAGCTTGGCAGCAATTTGAATTCGAGCGCTATTCGGGAGGGTATCGACGTTTACTTCGAGTGCAACATCAAGTCCAATCCCTGGGTTTACAAGGTTTCCTGGCGCCATAACGTGAGTCCGCACACACAGCTCGCGCACCGCATGGGGCGCAGATAACGAATCCAGTTCAGAAATCGATAATATAAGCCGACGAAGCTTAATCGCGTCGAGATAAGGGAACGACGGCGCGCACCTGCGTCACACCAACTTCCGTCCGAAAACTCGCGCGTTTGATCTGGGATTCGTATCGCCGAGACACACTGCGCAGGACGCATATAAAGCGGACCCCTCGCACAGTAATTAATCTTCGGAGAGCGGCCAGGCTTTAGAAATTTTCTCACAACCGGATCCTTCTCACAACCACTTTGCATTTTAAGGAAAGTCGCGTAATTGTCCTTGTCTCAAATTAGACCCTCCCCCTCCGCGTGATCGAGACAACGTAACTATTAACGGTTTAATGTTTAATACGTAATATAACTTTTAATACTTTAATACGCATGCGAATTGATTGTCAATAATCTTTGTTTCTGATTAATGAATGCTGAGAAATCCGAGTTTTGACAATTTTAAGAGAACATTATCGAGCAAATCAGGTGTGACCAAATGCGCCTTATATTTACAAAACATTTTATGTGTCGTATTATAAACTTTCAAAATAAATTAGCTGTGATATCTAATGCGTAAAGTTTTTTTTAGAATCATTTTATTAATATTTGTATGTTCTATTTGAACTAGAAGATAATATTAGACATGTTGTAGTGTCGGTTTTTTTTTTTAATTAATTACCAAACAAGTACTGCGCGTGTAAAATCTCTGATTTCCCTTTACTAATATCAGAATAATCCGCGTGTTTGATACGAGATTCCCAACATGAATCGCGCGACACGAATATTGAAATGTCCACACGAGTGGTAATTCATCGGCATCACGTCGCTTTATCCGAATTTATTCTAAACGTACGCTCGAGTACGCAATGTTTTTCTTCTCGCTGTTAGAATGATTCGCGTGATTGATATGAGACGGAAATAACGCAGCGTAGATCGAACTACAGATACATAAATCGGAGCATTTTATCAGTGATTAATAAGAATGCCATTTGTCAATGCCCGAATGTGTTTTAATCCGTTCAATCGTTTCGAACGCTTTGTCTTTATCCATGATAAAGTCATAGACGCGATTGATTTGGAACTGATGGCACAGCATGAATCACAGGTATAAATCAAGATATATCCTGTCGCAATTAAATGGCCGGAAAGCAATTGCATTCAATCATCCTAAATTTATTTTTAATCCTACGACACAAAACGTAACTTTTACTGCCGTCGAAATACATATTCACGGCATTTAATAGTCATTAAATTAAAAAATGGAAGAATTTTTTTCAAATAAATTCTTTAATCTCTTTTTTCAAGCGAATTTATTTAAACGTTTTTTTTTTGCAAGATCTCTTAATTGTTAACAATACATATCTTAATAAGACGAAAAAAGAGAGTTCTGTTAAACTAAAAAGTCTACTTAACATAAATAAATAATAGATAATAACGAGAAAACATTGCAGTGACGGATAATAATACTAGATATATTTATTTATTAATAAATTATATTTAGAAGTTATTGATTGACACTATTTGTCAAGAAAAATGTTTGCTAAGGGACAACAAGTCTAAAAAATACTTGTTACAAGTTTTGACTCATCACTGATAAATGTATCTTCAAAATAAGTCAAAGGGATAATATTTGAAATCTATATATGTTGTAACATTAAAGTTATTGCAACGCTCTTCGAACTTTGATATCCGTCGAGCCAATTTCGGTGGCTCTTATCGAACGAATGTCGTATACGCGGAAACACCGCAAAACGCAAATCCCAATCAATTCCCCCGATTCAAAGACTCGAAATTTGTTTCGTGAAAACTCAAAGCCGCTTTCGCAGTCTCGAAAGTCGCACATGCGACGAGGGGACGCGAGAGATCGAAAAACTGTCAGCGTTCCTCGTCGCGAATTTCTCATGCGGGATTTATTATAGCTTAGCCCGTGCGAGAGAAAAAGGACAAAAAGTTCACCCGTATTTTTTGCAGCGTTAATATCGCGCGTAGCAAGTGTACTTAGCCATCCATATTTTGTATAGTACTTATTGTTGGAATTATTTATTATTTTACATTGTGTAGCCAACTGTTTCATACATTTTTTATCAGACAAGGAAGATTATTCTGATCTGTTTTTTTTCCCCGCTTTCGAGAATGCATTTTCCGATTTGCTAAATATCTCTTGCAAGATTAAGTAGTCTATTACTTGCATTCTGAGCCGCGTTTGTTCACGGTATCTGTAAACACAACGTGACCTCGTTTGATTTCGCATTCGCAGGGCAATCCGCTGTATCACAACACGGCGACCGGAACGATAATAAGTAATCAGAGCCTGGTGCTGCAAAGTGTCACTCGCAGTAGAGCTGGGATTTACACGTGCATCGGCAATAATCAAGAGGGCGACGGCGAGAGCAATCCACTGAACTTGGACATAAAGTGTGAGTAACTGTTACACATATACGCACACATATCTCCCGAATTTCCCGTCATTCGCTATAATCTACATTGACGCTGTAATTAAATTAAACTATTCTCGCATTATTATTCATGACAATTCACCGCCAGTGCTCATATTTAGATTTCTAAAATTCGTAATTGTTTAAATCGACGATTACTTTTGTTTAAAATATATAATAATTATATAAAATCTTTTTTTTAATCATATTTTACAAACGTTTTGGAATGTATGTTGAAATTTTATAATTTAAATTTAAATATTATATATAAATTCGCAAAAGACGGATTTCTATAATTATTTAAACCAGAATGAGTTTCTAAATTTATATTTAGAGGAGGAATGATTCTTTGATCTTTTTAAATCTCCAGCATAGAGATATCAGAGTTTATAGACGAAATTTCCTCAGCGTCCCCTATATCTATCGACTGGGAAACGACGATTTTAACCGAAATAGGAATGGCAGAACGCGTCACGTTGTTCTCCGAGTCTAGAGTCTCTCCGGACCAGACGTTAGAGTTAATTTCTGTGTCACTGCATTCACCGCACTCTGGCACGTAACTGATACTGACACACCGGTATGCGCGGATCGACGTTAAATCAGCTTAGGGGCCCGCTTTGTTTACGAGGGGACATAAATCCGGCGCGTATAGGAGGAAATGTCCGCGCATTCGGTGTGCGGGCGAGGCGAGATCTCAGTTTCATATCGACGGTTTAATATCTCGGTATCGCGCACTATAAAAGAAAACAAGGTTTCATAAAGGTTCCGGCGGCAGAGAGCCGGGCGACCGTAAGGCAATTTCGCATGCACGCGTTAACTTAAACACCATAAGTAAGTTTCGACAGCTTTTTCAACGCGTTATAAAATGGATTACGGACGCGAGATTAGTTTCAAAGATTATGAGTTATAAAACTCGAGATGCTATATACGGATATAATAGTAAAATTTGTTGTTGCGTAATTAGTTGATACAAATTTTACAAGAAACGAATAAACGCAGATCGGGCAAAAAATAATAGTTTGATCATGTCGCAAATTGAAGACTTCCTATCTTTCTCATCTATCTTATTTAAAAGTTGTAGCTGATGTTATCGATGTAAAAAGTGATTTTTATAAATCCTGAATTCATCAATCATTCACGTATTACGCGATATATTTCATTCGATAACGAAATAACACGAGATTCTTGCTAGATTTTAACGAGAAATATTGCCGCCTTCGCTGCACAATTCGGTAGAAATTTATTACGGTGATATATATACGCGTTGGTCTGTTTTTGCATTTTCTAAGTAAAATACCTTTCGCCCTGTAGAGTTCAGCGTGCACTAAATCACTCCAAATGCTTTACATACCTAGGAACATATGCACGTACGCGCATAACACCCGAGTAGCCCTGCCTTAAGTCTATGTGTAACTTACGATGACTGACTGACATACGCCACCATTTATATAGCAGGTGCGCTCATCAGTATTTAGTGGCTTTAACGCACATAAATTACCCACAGTTAATCCGTGCACGGATTAATAGTTGATCAGTACTCCATCCTTCTCTCCCTCTTAATCATAATGTATGTACAGGTCGTTTATAGAGTCTATACTAATAGAATTATTTAATAAATAATTAAATATGACAATTTTAATAAAATTTAATAAATTAATAAAATTCTGGATACTTGAATTTAATTAAACTGTGTGTGGCAGAGAAAAGAAATTACTTTAAAAAATCGAAAGAAAGAAAAAAGATTACACTGATGAAAGAAATTATATGTCAAGAAGCATCTAAACACTCGTAATAGTAAGGGCGATAAAAATTTGTTTTTAAATTTATTTGGAAATTACATTTGTGTATTATTAACTTTATAGAATTTTGAATCCGAGAGAAATATGTATATGAAAGAATTCTAACGGATTGCGAACCGATTTGAATTATAATGAAAAGTTAAAGCATTAATGGAATTTTTAATCGTTTCATCGCTTTATGAATGCAGTATCAACGAAATCCGCCTTTATTATTTAACTGACGTTGCAGGATGTCTCCGATTAAAGCTTCAACTGAATCTGTCATGCCGTTATGCTAATTTTTCCTATTCTTTTCTGTTGAAACAGCATTATATTAAAATAGACTTCATTTTTTTTCCAAGAGTAGGTATATGTCAGTGAAGATGTCACGCATCTCTCTCTCTCTCTCATCAAAACGTATTTCACAAAAATTTCACTCTGAATGCATGTGTGCGCATTTTTGTGCTGGGGCAACTCCGGTGAAAACTACGCAAAATTTTCGCGTAATAATACTCATGATTATATTGGTTTTAATAACCCTTTTGGCAGGGTAAACGGACGAGTCTCGTGAACGTCGAATGTTCCCGTATAATCCGTATTTTCTTTGTTCCCCCGGGGTGCAGCCTCGCTATTTTACAGCTAACTAAGCGGCTTAAGATCTCGGATACGGCAGAGCCCGGAGGAGGAGCTTCTTGCCGCGCGCATAATTATACGTGCTGAAACTGAATTAAAATCTTAAGCTACGTTACTCGTTCGCACACACGAATTCGCAGATTTTCTCGGACAACCTATATTTGCACCTATATATAAAGACTTCAATTATTTTGAACCAAAATTATATGCATATTTGCGAAAGGTATTGTATTCTTCCTGAATATACATATATAATACGTTTTATATATAATTTTAGAATATTCTCTCTGTTATATATATCTTTGAAGAAAATGATAATTTGAAAAAAACAGAATATTTGATTTGAAGAAAAATTAGTTTAATTTTCAAAAATATCATTATATGAATCCAAATCGGTCAAGTGGGTCAGAAATATTATTACAAAATAACGCTATTGTGCAGACGAATTTGTCGATCCTAATTACTCAAAGTAATGTACATTAAGGAAAAAATGTAACGATTGTAAATCGTTAGATAACAGTAAAGTTGGATAATGCGAAATATTGGCGAGAAGTGCTTTAAAAGTATTCCAACTGCGTTTTCTGGACACGATGCTTAAAAATTCATCGACCCGCAATGCGTCTTTCTAACGCGATCACGTGTAAGTTTCTCTCGACGTACGTTGCCTTAGACGAATCGATACTAACTTTCCAAGCGAAGATTGTCGTCGACTGAATCTTTGCTCGATTTTTATGTAATTGCGTTCTGTGCGAACGGAATTCGAGCTTCCGTCAGTATCGTGCAAATTATAAGGCAAGCATTGCCGTAACAACCCGTAATTAATGGCATGGAGCCTAAAAATTCTTGCCGTTCTGCTACTCGTTGAAGTTAACGCCGCACTTAATCGGAGGGTTTTAAACTGGAACGCAAAGCGATTAAAAGCGATAACAGTAATTAGCCAGGAGCGACTGGTCGACAACTGGCTTACATATGTAATCTTAATATTACTCTACATTAAGATTTAAAAAGAAAAGAAAATTATATGTGCACGTTGCGCAGCATTGCGCTGCAGTGAGACACGATATGCAGCATTAATAAAATTTCACGCGAGAATAATACGACAAAAAAAAAACGCGCCGCTCTTGTCCTCCCAAGCTTGAAGGAAACTTAAATATTCAATAGACACGAGGACCGTGGTACTGTTTATTCAATAATAGATGACACAACGTATTTCAGTCGGAGAGACATATTGACCCATATCAGATAACTTATTTCTGATAATAAAAGTAAACGAATTATTGTTTCATATTACTGTCAAAAGTGTGTATTAATACCGTATGAATAAGATACACCGAGAAAATGGAGTTCGCGTTACGAGTACAAAGTCACCTTGTGACTCTTGCTCTTTTTATAAGCTCTTTTAACTCCGGTACCGGAGTATCTGCAGAAAAAAGCGGAGTGCCGTAATACTTTATATTGGATCATCAAAATACTCTTTATATTGGATTATCATAATACTTCTTACGAGACGGGCGTGTGCAAAGTTCCTTCAAGCGATCTCATTTTCTCTCGTCGTACAATGCGGTTTCGCAAAACGAACATGACATGAACACACGGTCTTTCAACCGATATAGCCGCGCGCAAAATAATCCAGGTCGCTGAAATAGAAATTGCGCGATTAATACTTAATTACACGTCGCGGCAATTTCGTGGCGCTTCTACAACCGCCGCACTTTTGTCACGTGAACTCTATGCGAGACCTTAATGCGAATAAAATATTAAACCCTTTTATTTAGCGCGAATATAAATCGAACGATAAGAAGGTAGTAGCGACGAGATTTCGTCTTTATTAGGCGATTTTTCTCTTGACTTGCTGGAATTGCTTTCTCAGAATCTCTTTATCATAGATGATTCATTATTCTGACATGATATACAAAAGATGTCAAAAATTATAATACGGCAAGAAAAAAATGGCGCCTTTTGCAAAAGGATTAAGACAGGTTCAAAATGAATTTTAAATTCTTCGAAGAGTTATTTTCGAGAGAAACAAAATCTCTATTATGTTTCGTAATCTACACCGTTAAATTTTGAGTGTTATATTATACTCAATTTGAGTCATTTTTAACTGTTCCTATATAAGTCGCCACTCCTACTTAATGTGTTGTTAATTTAATTAAAACAACGGAGTTAAAATAATACTATTTTGTGTCAAAATAATAAATGTTAACATACAGTTAAAAATAACAAAATGTTATTTAATTCAAGATATTGGTTCAGTTTTATCCTTTAACATTTAACGGTGTATCATTCTCAATATATTTTGTAAAATTATCTTCAAAAATTTTTATAAAAAATCTTTCGTCCAATAGAGGCCTGTATTAGCGTATATCAAATGTGATTATGTGTGTTTCGATCGAATTTATAAATATAAGCAAGTAAGCCGAGATTAAAATGTTCGTGTAGTGTGCTATACGCGGCGAATTACGTATAACTTACGCTATAACCGACGACTATACGTGATACGGTAAAAGTATTGGCGCTTTATTTCGCGTATGGCAACAAAATCGTGCCGATTTATAACTGGCTCGATCC